CTCTTACTAGTAAAAAACTTTAAATCAAGAATTTTAAATCAATACTTGATGAAGACCAGTATGAAGCAGCTCTGAGCAGGATTTGATATTAACCAATTGGTTTTCCACGTTTACTTGTGAGTTGTCTGAAGCTTAGGCACCTTGTCCGGGGACAGGCAGTGGACTCATAGTAAGTGAGTCTCTATGAGTCACTGGTCACCCTCAGGCCTGTACTGGCCTGTGAAGCTGTCATGCCTCAAAGGACAAGATAAGGCCACAGCTGAAGACATCTGGCTCTAACCCCAATTAGCCACAAGGAGACTGCAGCTGCAGGCTCCACACTCGTACAATAAATACCAACCTAAAGGTAAGGCAGTTCTCCTGATTGACATAATTTACTACTTGGGAAAATTCTCCCAGGGTCCTGCCCAGATTCCCACATTTGCTTGAGTAACCCCCTCCTTTGTTTATAAACCAAATAAATACAGGCTGCCCCGAGAAGTCTTTGTCTGAGCTCAGAGAATATCAGAACTGTAAGAGAGTTGTCCCTCCTGGAGCCCTGAAATCATTTCAGTTGTCTCATTTATTTAAGTCTTCGCCATCCACTCATTTGGGAGATTGCAGACCTGACCAGCTTGCAATAATTAAGGGTTATTTAACCCAATAAATACTTTTTATAATTTAATGAGAGAAATAAAGTGTTATTTGGGGCTTGTTAAATTAGTGTTTCTTTAGTTATTCATTCAGAGAAGATAGAGCTGTTATTTCCTAAAAGGTAACATGGTTCCCTGATTTGGTATTTCCTTAAAATGATGTGAAACAATGAAATGTTGGCTGTAAATCTGCCGCCTGGAACCTCAAACAATTCACATCACTCCCAGGCCTTAACTTAACAGTTGGTTTTATGATACGGCTTTAGAACAACACCGTTAAGCGTGGTATGTCCCTTCCTCCAAAACTGCCATAAAAATAAAGCTTTTTAATGGTGACTCTAAAATATAGCAGAAGTATTCCCCCCTGCATATTTTTTGGATTGTTTATCTAAAATCTTGAGGTTTCTGAATTTCCCATTATGCTCCACTTTGGAATGGCTGTTTTCATTTTAGCAGACAAATGCATGAAATCTCACCCTGTCAGGGATCCCTCACCTTCCTGCTCTGTCAGGTAACCATCCGCCTCATCTTCCACTGAAAGGATCTCCAGTGCTTGTGTGTGCATCGGCCACGGCCTATTAAAGGCACAAATTGCAGGGCGTGGTGGCGCACGCTTATAATCCCAGCACTCGGGAGGCTGAGGCAGGAGGATTGTTGCAAGTTCGAGACCAGCCTACGCTACATAAGTGAGCTCAAGGCCAGCCTGAACTGCACAGTGAGACACTGTCTCAAAAAGACAAAAAAAATAAATAAATAAAGGCACCGATTGTCACAACCCTCTGAGTTCAACTGGGGCCCCGGCCTGAGGACCAGCATTTCCACAGATTCCCACACAGGTGAGAAACACCGGGAACTCAGCTCTGCATCCTCACCAACTCCGGTTCTGGCTCTGGGAAGGGGAGAGCTCAGCACAGGAAGCTCAGCTTGTCCGAGGGAATGGCTGCTCCCGTCTCTCAGATGCCTCGGGTGCGATAGGCTGTGCCGCACAGGCCCCGTCGTCAGTCTTGAATTCCAGGCCTGGAGGTGCTTGTTTTCTCCGGCACTGCTTGCCTGTCAGCTGTCTCTGATGTGTTTGAATCCCATGATCTCCCTTCCTCTCCCCATGCAAGCCTCACATCTACCTCTTCTCCCCGACACCCTGGCCTGTCCTCCCACGGTGCCTCACACTCCCCAGTAGGCACCGTCCTTGGGGAAGTGAACCCCATGGGGAGTCTGCTCCGGGTACTTCCTGGCCTCCCTGCTATTAGATGTGGTTCTTAGACACTGTCCTAAGAGTGTCCTTCTGTCCCACAGACCCTAAGTAGGCCAGGGACCACCTCACTCACCATGGTCCAACCCAGCCTGAAATGGAGTAGGAGCCTCAGGAGTCTGGAGGGAAGGACTAATATAAAAGCAGCTTTGGGTATGTCAGGCAACTCCATGGCACAGCCTGCAGGGACGCTGTGCCTGACCTCTTTGCTTGTGGCTGCCTTGCCCGAAAGATCACTAAGCGCCCCCCCAAGAACTTCTCATGGCTGCCACCTTGGCTCCTTGGGTCCCATCCACGATACCTGTCTAACAATAAAGCTTCCTGGGCCCCTGGATATGGAGCCGGAGCCTCACTGTGATCCAGGAACCCTGTAGTCCCCTACTACCCAGCATACACACTGTGTTTCAACTACCTGTCTACATCCTCTTTCTGACCAAGAGCTCGTTAAGAATAAGCCTCTTAACCTCAATGTCCAGGATGGAGCTCTGCACACAGCCCGTGCCCAGTAGATATTTGCGAAAAGAATGGAATGCTAGCTCAAGCTTCTTAATCCTGCAGGGTAAGCATTAAGCCCAGACACCTACCATGCTGTCTTGGGCGGGTGAGGGGGGGCGGTGACACATCTCCTTCAGCACTAAGAGGCAGAAGGCCTCACACTCAGTATGCCATTCAGCAGCAGCTAGCTTGGACCAAGCATTTCTTCCCTCCTGTGTGTCTCAACAGGATAACTTTGGGATTTTGAGTGAGACTACTCTTAGTTGTATACCATTGTCTGCCGCAATGTGGGACACTGCACTATCCCTATCTCGATCCACTAGGTGTTTGTTATGGTTTGTGTCTGCATGTCCCCCCAAATCCTCATGCAGTCATAGGTCAGGCTTCTAGATTTATGATTGATCCATAGTCCAATGCTGAGATTATGGGTGGGAGCGCTGCATCCACTCTGGGGCGGGTGGTTTGCATGTGTAAGGGAGAGAAAGAGGCTGCTTGCTGCCACTCCTCCTTTTTGCTCTTGCTGCTTTTGCTAACTTCTGCCACCATGAATGGTTGCCCTGTGCCATGTGCCACTTTGCCTTGGTGCCAGCCTAACACGGACTGAAACCTCCACAGACTGTGAGCTAAATAAACTTTTCCTTCCTTAATATTGGGCGTCAGGTGTTTTGTTTCAGCAATGAGAAAAAAGTAACCAAGACAGTGTTATTACTACCCTGCTAATCATGTTGATGACTATTTATTCACTCTCTCTTTCTTCCTTTCTTTCTTTCTTTCTCTTTCTTTCTCTCTCTCTCTCTCTTTCTCTCTCTCTGTCTCTCTCTGTCTCTCTCT